AAGTCATCTGAAGGCATTTGGATCTATTGAACATGGACATGTGCCAGATTAGTTGAGAAGAAAACTTGATGACAAGTCGAGTCAAATGATTCTAGTTGGATATCATTCAACATGAGGTTACAAGTTGTTCAACGCAGTGAACAAGCAAATTGTGATCAGCAGGGACGTGATCATATATGAGCTTAAGGAATAGGATTGGACTAAAAATATCAAGAAATATTTAGTGAGAATCTTACTTGAAGAACAAGAAACTTAAGTCGAAAGAGAAGTTTGACAAGAGGAAGTTAGAGATCAATCAAGTACAAGCAGACCTCAAAGAACAAAACGCATGCCCACAAGATTGCAAGAATGTGTGATTACATCAAATGATGTGGTTGATAACAAAGGTGAGCCGATACATTATGCTTTCTATGCAGATGTCGAACCAATCAATGCAGCTGAAGCATTAAAGGATTCAAAGTGGGTGAAAGCAATGAACGAAGAAGTGAAGTCCATCGAAGACAACAACACTTGGTCACTTGTCAAATTGCCTCAAGGCAAGAAGGAAATTGATGTCAAATGGGTATACAAAGTGAAGATGAATCCTAAAGGAGAATTAACTCGACACAAAGCAAGGCTCACGACGAAAGGATTTCTCCAGAAAGAAGGAATAGACTTTGATGAACTTTTTACACATGTGGCTAGAATCGAAACAATCAGGTTTGTCATTGGTCTTACAGAAATAAACAGTTGACACATATGTCAGATGGACGTAAAGTGTGCATTCCTGAATGGACCCTTAGACGAAGAGGTTTATGTTAAACAACCAGTTGGATTTGTGAAATATGGCAAAGAGAAAAAGGTGTACATGCTCCATAAAGCCCTGTATGGATTGAAATAAGCTCCAAGAGCTTGGAATAAGAAGATTGATAGTTTTCTAAGGGAGAAGGAATTTGTAAAGTGCACAACTGAATATGGAGTATATGTAACAAGAAGCAATAGTATATTGCTTATACTATATCTCTATGTTGATGATTTGTTAATAACAGGTAGTTGCAAGAAGGAGATCGAAGACTTAAAAGGTGATCTCAGCAAGGAATTCGAAATGTTTGATCTGAGTGACATTTAATATTTCCTTGGCATCGAGTTCTACAATAGTAGTATAGGTTTGATGATGCATCAAAGAAGATGTGTAGGAGAAATTCTCAAGAGATTTGAGATGGAAAAATGAAACTCAACTTTGACACCTGCAAAAACAAGACTGCAACTGCCAAAAGATGCAGATGAAGATGATGTCGACCCAACCCAATACAGAAGACTTACTGGGTCATTAAGATGCCTTTGTCATACAAGGCCTGACTTAACATACAATATAGGTATGGTAAGTAGATTCATGCATAAGCCAAAGGTATCACACCTAGCAGCAGCGAAGAGGATACTAAGGTATCTCAAAGGAACTCTCGACTATGGTATTTTATTTCCTGCCGTTGATAAGGAGGAAAAGAATGCAAGTTAGTGGGATTCATTTATTCGAGTTGGTGTAGTGATGCTGAGGATCGAAAATCTACAGCAGGATATGTATTTATGTTAGGTGGTGTACTAGTTGCTTGGAGTTCGAGAAAGGAACCAGTGGTGGCATTATCATCATGCGAAGCAGAATACATAGATGTTTCTCTTTGTGTATGTCAAGCAACTTGAATAGTGAACTTGGTCGAAGAGATAACAAGGAAGGATCATGGAGCAATTACCATAAAGATCGACAACATGTCAGCTATCAATCTGACGAAGAATTCGATAGCTCACGGTCAAAGCAAGCACATCGAAATGAGGTTCTACTATCTTCGAGAGTAGGTAGCAGATGTGAAGATGAACTTGGAACACTGCAGAACTGATAATCTGATTGCATATATCATGACGAAGGGAGTGCATATCGAAATATTCATAAGACTAAGAGCCATGATGAATATAGATAATTTAGACACAATGAATTAGGTGGTGTGTTAAATTGTAATTCCTTGATATCGAAACTATGTGTGTCGAAGGGGAGTAGTTGTCGAAGCAGGTTGCTCAAGATATTAGATTTGTTTTAGATTGAGATAGATTTGATTTAGATCTAAAATATAATAGATTTGATTTAGTTTCAAAATAGGTATTTTGAGCTTTTATATTTTTTAGTTTTGACTTAGGGAGCAAGCTAACCTAAATCTATAAATAGAGGGAGTAACCCCTATTTTTTTAATCAAGTTAATTCATTGTATTCACAGAATTTGTAGTTGCAAATGAATAATAAAATTTTTCACAGTTTGTGGACATAGAGAAACTCTGCAGAAAATTAATTATTTTGTTTCTTTTCTCTTAATTCATTATCATTATGTAATAATATCAATCTTATTTATCAAAAATTGGTAGAAATTTATCATAGACATTTGATCGATTTCCAAACAACAAGGTCAATATCTCATTGTATTAAATAGTTATATCCCAATCACTTTGTTTTGCATGACACAACTTCAACTTTGAAGAGTTCAAAACATCATAATATGTTTTCTAAACCGTTTCCCAAACAACAACTTCACACGATAAGTATGGAAGTCACTCACTCAACCAACATCAATAGTATGGAAGTCTTCGTCATCAACGGTAGATCTACAAGGACCTATATTTATTAATTCTAGTTGTTGACCATGAAAAAGGTTATGGAACAGGTAAAATGCTTAGTTACTAAATCAAAAACATGGAACTCTTATTCCTTATTAGAGAAAATATGTAAAAAAATTATTGGAATTTTATTCTTCAGCGTTACAGAGTATTTATAGCAATATTAGAATCTAATTATTTTTCTTAAATTAAGAAAAGTAATAACAATAAAAAATGACAAACATTCTAAAATAAATAATAAATATTCTAACATATATAAACTGAATTGAATAGCATCCGTAAAAGGGCTATTTCAAAATTAAATAAATAAAGAATATGATGAAAAGGAGAGAATCTCAAGTTAGCCCCCATTGTTGAATTGTTCAAAGAAAGGTTATTTAATGATGAAATAGCTTTTCTTTTACCACAAAAAGATAGAATAGTTTATGGATTTAATGAATATTCATCCAATAAAAAATAAATAATCTATTTTATTATTAAAAAAAATTAAAATAAAAAATAATTTAATTAAATTTATGATTGTGATTGTTTAATGAATGTAAAACTAAAATGCTATCACCCCTTTTTTTTTTTACTTATAAAAAATGATTAAAATGGTGTTGTCTGCTGTACTTTACTTATTAGTTATTTCCCTCCCTCCCTTATAATAAACGCAACATCCTTTTTTTCCATCTTCCATTCCATTCCGTCGTCTCTTCTCTTTCTCTTCAACTTCTTTCCATTTAACATCCTCAGAACCTCTTTCACTTTCAATTTCATCATTCAAACTTGTCTTCATTTCTTCACTCACTCATCTCTATCTGTAAGTATTCAATTCTTATATTTTTACCACCTCTCTTAACTCTTAATACTAATTTTCTTAAATTTAATGCTTAAATATTTTGTGTTTCTTGTGAATTTCTGTGCAAAGGGAATCTGTGATTAACTAACCAACTTCCAATGTTTATTAATGATTGAATCTTCTTTCCTCCTACAATAGATCTACAACCAAATTTTATTTTTATTTCTGTAAATTTCATTTCCTCACTAATTGCTTTCTTTTGTTTATTCAGTTCCATTTCTGTCAAATAAACTTGACTTTGCTTCTGCAACTAATAATATATTTACCCCCTGTTTTGTTTCTATATAATAGCTCGCTGATTGAATTTGTTAGAATAATAATGCAAATGTGTAAATGGGAAAATAATCTCACATTAGATAGAAATGTGATGACTTAAGTGGGAGAATCCACTTAACTATTACCTTAAGATTTTAGATAGATATTTGGTATGTCTCTCTCAAAAGTGTGTTCCAAATAAAATGTTCCCTCGGAATTGGCCTTAACAATAGTATCCGAGCTTTTGCTTCGAAAAAGGAACCGATTAACTTGTATCGAAATATCCAAGAAGAGGTGTCTCTTTGCCCAAGAAGAGGTAATAGCAGTACAAATATCTTAAACATATATAAGTGAGAGAATACACTCACCTATTACGTTAAAGTTTTTGGTATGTCTCTCACAAAAAATGCTTAATCATACGGTATGTATCAATGCTCGTGAACTCCCCCATCAGAATTTGTAGTGTTTTCTAAATATGATTTTAATTTTTTTAGTTAAGATATCAAAATAATGGTTATTAGAGATATTTTATAAACTCAAAAAATAGTGTAGTGACACAGGGATAGGCCTTAATGTGTGTAACGGTAACAGCTAGCAAAATTTGTTGCAACTGTTATCTAAAAATACTTGTAGGTTAGTCATTACAACGAAGTTAGTTCTAACAACTCAGTAAAAAGTTGAATCTGTTGATTATTTTCAAATTTTTACTTTCTGAAATACATATGCTTGTGTCTCTTTCCAAAGTTGATTTCTGTGATGTGTGCATGAGTGGTTGCCACAACTTGCACTTATCTCCTCTAGCCAAATTCTGACCCCACCATAAGCTATTATTTATGACTAACTAGCTTAAAATAATATCGACATATAAGACCCTTTTAGTTTAAGTTTCCAGGTCAATTAACATCACAACTTCAACTTATAAACATTATTTATTTTTAATGAATACTTATCATCATTCTAGCTAATAAAATAACAATTTCTGTGATAATTTGTAGTTAATGAAAATACTGTACTTGATTTGTTAGTTTGAGATCTATATTTGTACGTCCTGCAATGCAATGCTTAAAATCTACATCAAGTTGGTCCACGACTTTAATTGCTTTACCAATCCATCTTTCTCAAACAATTTGTACCAATGCTTAATATCTAAATATCTTTTAGTGATTTATATGATCTAAACTGTTAATCTGAGAAAATGAACTAATCTGTTGCCATTTATTCAATACTTGTAACTAATACATTGTTTTTCCTATGCATTTCAGGTTAAATGGCGTTAGATCAATACATGGAGAACACCGTCTCCCAAAATGATTCCTTTGAAGATAATCCATCTTTCAAAATCTCAAAAACCACCACAGATTCTGATAGAAATGCATCTGCTGGCTTTGACTGCAACATCTGCTTAGAGTGTGTGCAAGATCCAGTAGTCACGTTTTGTGGTCACCTTTACTGCTGGCCTTGCATTTACAAATGGATTCATATGCAAACTAGTATATCTTCTGGAAACCAGGAGAAGCAGAAGCCACAATGTCCAGTATGCAAATCAGAACTCTCTCAATCCTCACTAGTTCCATTATACGGCCGTGGCCAATCCACCACAAAGTCTGAAGCTCGGATGGATGTACCTCAAAGACCTTTGGGTCCCAGATCATATAATACTACAACTGTTTCACAACCTACTTATCAAAGTTATTATCATCCTCGACAGTTCAACTCAATTCCTACCAGTTACTACTCTTCACCCATGTCATTGGACAACTCATTTGGAATCTTCGGTGAAATGATATACGCGAGGGTGTTCGGTAACCAGATGGAAAACATGTATGCATATCGTAATTCATATAGTTTTCAAGGAAACAATAATCCAAGGGTTAGAAGACATTTAATGCAAGTTGATAAATCACTAAGCAGAATCTTTTTTTTCCTCCTTTGCTGCTTAGTTTTGTGTCTTCTCTTATTTTGAATAAAATTTAGTAGCAGTACATGTGTGTATCCTCCTTGTATAGATTGTATTCAGTATTCTGATTCAGCTTGAGAGTTTATGGTGAGACGTGTAATTGTCAGTGTGGATATAAGAATATATAAAATATATGTTTGTAACTTTGTATAAACTATAATTGGTATTTTGTTGTTGTCCCTTTCAGCTTGTTAGGTACTTTGTTCTAACGACAAAAACAAAAGGAGAATAAAGACAAGTTTGTTTTGGTAAAAAGAATCAAGACAAGTTGTTGATTTATGCCATTACAGATTTTATTAAATTTTTTTGTAAAATTATACTTAGATTTAGGATGGCTTTGTTTATTGGTAAGACATGTGACCAATATAAAGGCAGCAATGAGAAGCTATGCCTTATCCGTTGCAAGGGATAGGACAAGCTTGTGGTCCATATAATAAAATGTGTCAACTTCAATCCATGTGCTGGAAACAAAATATTTGAATGTATATAATATATTAAATTCAAAGTATCAAATGTTATAGAACACACATTATCAATTATAACACTAACACATTATTAAGTATAATTCAAAAATTTGCTACATCATCCTATAATTTTATGTGACACATCTCAAAACTCATTTTCATCATATATTTCTATAAATTAGAGGTTACAGATTCTAATCCTCACAAAAACGGAATAAAATATCATTTGAACAAATTGATCTAACAAATCAATTATTAATCTAACTATATATATTCTCTTAAATTAAAAATATTCTCTTATATTTCAAATATAAAAGAGATGTGAAAAAAGTAACACTTAAAGTAAATATTTTTAATCTTAAAGTGGTTCTTATATAATTTTTAAGTATAAGTCACTTTAAACTTATTTAGAATATAATATAATATACAAAAAAAAATTATGATGTCTATATATTTTACTATTATATTTTTTATATAATATCAATAATATATTAAAGACAAATAACAAAATATTATAAAAAACAGATAAGAGAATTCAAACACAATAAAATATTTTTTTCTTATTTTAAATAAAATGGTCTAACAATTCAATCATTATTTCAACTATGTATATTCCCTTATATTAAGAATATTTTATCAAATTTCAAAAATAAAAGAAATGTCAAAATACAAATATAATAAAAAAAAATTATTTTCTTGAAATTATAGTAATAAAAATTACATTTGAAATAAATATTTGGCTTAATACAATTTTAGTCCTTCTATTATCTCTTTTTTTCGATTTTGATCCCCTCATTTTAAAAACTGGTTTTTATGGTCCCTCTATTTTGTTTTTTTGAGGATTTTAGTTCTCTTCATATAATCTTGCCAACAAATATCCCACAGATATGTCCAACAAATGAAATTGAGCTTATCAACCCTCTAGTCATGATGAGAGCTATTGGTCGCCCCAAAAAGAATCATAACAAGGCAAATAATGAGCCTAAAAACAAAAATACTTTGCTCAGATTACGTCAAATTGTGAAATATCAAAAATACAGGAATGGAACACAACAAGTGAGCATGCAAAGGTAAAGGGAGACTGAGAGAGTAATACTTAAAGAGCAATAACTAAAACGCCACTATTACTATTGTCTTGTCATTTAAAATGCTCTTAAATTTGAAGGGGACTAAAATCCTCAACAAAAAAAAAACAAACAAACTAGAGGTACTACACAAATCGGTTTTTAAAATAGGGGGGCCAAAATAGAAAAAAATAGATAATAGCACTACTAAAAAAATGACATTTGAGGAAAAGTTTTTACATCAGGTATAAAAATATACGATGTAAAAAATAAAATTAAAAATATTTTACATCATGTATTTATTTGCAATGATATAAATAATATGAAAAATATATATTTTGCTATCTATTACATCGGGCCATTTAATCCACCGATGTAAAAGGTTTCGTGAAAAAAATACGGTGGCAGTTTTGTAAATAACAAACCAGGTGACAAAATTGTAAATAAAAAACTGACCAGATAATACATCGGTTCCTGCAAACCACCGATGTAAAAAAGTCTGTGGCAGATTGATAATATAAAAAATAGGCTAACCCTTACATCGGGCTATTTATTCCACCGATGTAAAAAACAAAACCTTACATCGAGTCATTCGTTAAACCGATGTAAAAAACATCAGTGCCCGAACCCTTACATCGGGCCACTGCTTGCACCGATGTAAAAAACATAACCACCCGAACCCTTACATCTGGCCAATGCTTGCACCGATGTAAAAACTAATATATATAATGTTGAAATAACCCCTAAATGCGAATTATTTCATCATTGTTCAACTTCTCCGTCCCACGAACGCACCGTTGCCGCTACTCAACCCGTCTCGCCTACGTCATTCCGCCCATCTCGCCTACGCCGTCTCCGCCCGTCTCGCCTACGCCGTCTCCATCCGTATCCTCCCTCCATCGTCTCCTCACAGATCCGCCGTCTTCGTCGTCTTCGAAACATCCTCCGCCGTCCAACTATGATTCCGGTACGAAACTTTCTATTTTGTTCAACTTCATTGTATATCTAGGTTGGTTGAAAGTTTATATAGAATTATTTGTTCATATTTGTTCATATCTAGGTTGAAGAGGGTCATGGGTAAGTTGATATCTCAATGTCAAGCAACTTTTATATTCCAAACACAAACATTGGTGTTTTAGTTTCTAAGAGTTATATATACAAAGAAGTTTTTAAGATATTCTTGTTTCTTTGTTTGTTACTGAGATTCATTATAAAAAATTAGAAGTACATAGAAAAATAATTAGAAGATTATACTATGAATCCATTACTTTGTTCATATTTGTTTTTTAATTACTAACAGTTTATTATTATTAGAGAGGTTAATTAAGTCTAATTAGTTATAAATAGTATATATTTTGTATAAAGTTAAGAATATAGTACATGTTGTGTATAATTAGTCATTCTTTTTCATTAGAAAAATTGTCTATTTAGAAACCTCCGAAAAAAGCGTTAATGGTCCTCTCAGAAACACACAGTTTATCTTTAACCTATCAAACTTAATAAAGTTATCACCTTGCCATTGAAATTTGATTCTATTTTTCTTTCTCCGCGAAGCAGCGCAACTTGCAATCTCGGAATCTCCGTGAAGTAGCGCAGTCGCGGGCACACCCTTCGTCAGACCTTCCTCCGTACGAACACAGAGTGATGGAATTTCTACAGTTTGCTGAAAGTAATGCTGAAAAAAGTCTTCATACGCTTTTTCTCTGTCCATGTGTTCGTTGTGCAAATAAAGAACCAAAATGTAGTAAGAAAGAAATCATGGATCATCTAATTTGTGTAGGGATTTGTCGAAGTTATACAGAATGGATATGGCACGGTGAAGTAGTAGCAAAGTCAAACGTGTCTCAAAGAGATGATATTAGTGTAAAAATGGATGATCGTCTAGAAGACATGATGCGTGATATTGGACAAGATTCGTTTAAGAGGGCACATACATATGATACTATATGCAGTGACAAGAATAAACCATTGTACCCGGGATGCAAAAAATTTACACGTCTGTCAGCCGTGTTAAAATTATTTAATCTGAAGGCAAAGAATGGGTGGACTGACAAAAGTTTTACCGAGTTGCTTGAATTGTTGATCGAAATGCTTCCAGAAGGTAATGTAATGCCAAGTCGTTATTACGAGGCGAAGAAAATATTGTGTACGATGGGTTTGGAGTATGTAAGGATACATGCATGCCCTAATGATTGCATATTATACAGAAAAGAGTATGTAAACTATAATCATTGTCCTAAGTGTAAGGCTTCACGCTACAAAAAGAAAGATGGTGAATCAATTGATGATGAGGTGGTCAAAAAGGGTCCTCCTGCGAAAGTGGTATGGTACCTACCAATAATTTCAAGGTTCAAGAGATTATTCGCCAATGCAGATGATGCAAAGAATCTTAGATGGCATGCAGAAGAAAGAAAATATGATGGACAAATTTGTCATGTAGCTGATTCTTTGCAGTGGAAGAAAATAGATTCTTTGTTTCCAAATTTTGGCAAAGAGTCGAGAAACCTTAGACTTGGACTTGCTACTGATGGAATGAATCCGTTTGGTAATCTGAGTACTAACCATGGTTCTTGGCCTGTTCTCCTGATGATTTACAACCTATCTCCTAGGTTGTGCATGAAGCGTAAATATATTATGTTATCGATAATGATATCGGGCCCAAAACAACCAGGAAATGACATAGACGTTTATCTAAGTCCACTGATTGATGATTTAAGAGTGTTGTGGGAGGAAGGGGTGGATGTTTTTTATGCATATTCTGGCGAACAGTTCAATATGCGTGCCATGTTGTTTTGCACCATCAATGATTTTCCGGCATATGGTAATTTGTCAGGGTATAAAGTTAAAGGGCGTGTCCTATATGTGAAAAAGACACATATTACCATCAGCTTGAAAAAGGAAAGAAGACCGTTTATCTTGGGCATCGAAAATTTCTAAAACGTTATCATCCATATCGTAGATTGCGAAAAGCTTTCAATGGGGAACAAGAGCATAGACCATGAAGAAGGGATATGAGAGGACTAGTAAGATTTTTTTTATAAGTTAATTCCACGTTACTTTATTTTCTAATTGTTTTTATTTTATTCTTAATTTTATTTCTAATTGTTTTTATTTTGTGCTTAATATTATTTCTAATTATTTTTATTTTGTGTAAACAGATACATGGGTGATTCAAACGACAACCCTTCTTTATCTAGTAACCCCAATAAAAGAAGAGTTAGAGGTCCCACTTTCATGACATAAATTGACAAAGTTCATCAAACGGGTGAAAAGATAAAGGTCGAGTTTAATGCAAGAACCTATGAATGTATTGGTGTTGGTAAAAATGCTACACATTTTAAGAGTTATATAGCATGTCTTGCTCGGCAGTACTGTAGTATTGTGAAAAATGATTGGAAAGAATTAGAAGGCGTAATAGATGCTATTTGGACTGATATTCAGGTATTTTAAATACAATACTTTATTATATTTTATAATC